TGTGCCTATGTTTATAGCAGCACAATTTGTGATAGCCAAATCTTGGAAACAACCAAGATGCCCATCACCTGAAGAATGGTTAAAAAAGATGTGGTATTTTTACACAATGGAGTATTGCTCAGCTATAAAGAATGATAAACTTGAAGACTTTATATTTAAGTGGATGCCACTTAAAGATATACTCATAAGTGAAATAAATCAGACGCACATGTGTAAATATCATATAGTTTCCCTAGTATAAGAACTCAAAGGAAGAAATACAAATAGAAAGGTATAATATGAGTAAAAGGAGTGCAGGAACTCGAGGACTAATTAAGAGAGTGAAAGCAGAAGAGCTAGGAAACATGACAGTGACAAGCCATACAGTTATATGTAGAAGATGGGCAAGGCAATGATCCTGAGAATCTTCAGAAGATTTTTGAATCTCACAGTTAGTTGGAAAGATTCTCACCCTGATTAACTATATATATTGACACCTGTGAACTAAGTAACTGCACTGAAGATGGCAATTTGTAATAGTAGGTTCATGCTTGGAGTGCCTATCATTCTGGTCTTCTGAATAAGGGCTGCTTGTCATGACATGCCAGTTGCTGCTGTGCTGTCTCTCAGGTAGATGACTGTTCAAAAAGAAGGGTGTGGTGAATGAAGGCAGAGACAGGAAAAGGAATGTTGTGGGACTGTTCTGCTTCAAGGTTGTATGTGGTTAGATTTTTGGACTTACGTGTAAACATAAGAAGTATATAATTCTTTATGCCTATTTTTAAAATATATTCTAATTCTAAAATGTTTTTTCATCATATTTTTAGGGACTTAAAGTTCAACATATCAATACTTGATGAAAAATACCTGGTCCATGTTGTGCCTAAGATGTTTGATATTCAGACAGATAGTGAGGTTAAGCTTAACAGCCTAGGTTGCATGGCAATAGCAATAAACTTCTCTTCTTGAGGGTTAACCACCTAAGTTTGCAGACCAAAATTAGAGAAAAAGGAGTGCCACAAGGAAAGCTAACATTTTGCCCCAAGCCTTCCAAGGTCAATTAAGACTCAGGACATATGAGAACTTGTACTGTAACGTCACATAATTCAGTAGTGTCCCAAATTTTCTGACCAAGGAGATTATAGGGCCACAGAGCAACATGATCAATGATGTAGAGTGTGCCTAAGGAGAGTCACATGGAGAGAAATCATTCTCTCAGGCTTTCACAGAGAGTACATTGGCTAAGCATTGTCTGTGACTCATCCACATGGCTGACACTGACAAAGGATCTACAATCTGAGGTACAGGATCTCAGGATAAATCCTGAGTGGATTTGACTGACCTTATCAGAACCAAAAGCTACAACTCTTGTTACATAGGTCTTGCTTTATCTTGGCCTTAACCATCCAGCAGAAAAGTATAAAAATGAAATATAAGAAGTAAAGCCATGGTGTTATGTTGAGCTATAGGGGACTCAGGTCAACAACTTCTGACATTGCCAGTGAAGTGGAAGGTCCAACACTATTATGGACTACTGGACTCTTTTAGAATCTTTTGCTGAGTTAACACACCTATAATATTCAAATAAGAGAACTAAACAAAAAAAGGGGATACAGATGAATGTCCATTTTGTATTTTTGTATTCATAATGGTTAGAATAGATATATCGTTACATTCTCTTAATGATTGGAGGGATTTGTTCTTATAACGTTTATAAATAAGATATCATGTCTGCATCTTGTACAGCAATTAACAACTAGGAAGAATACATGCAATGTGTGAATTATTGGAACTGTCCTACCAATTTGGTTTGAAACTGTCTCATTGCTATTGGTTTCTCAATAAAATTATGTGAAAAAATTGTTTAAAAAAAACTTCACATAAGGATATTTTGTCATATCCCCAGCAGTATTTTTAGAATTTAACTGTCATAGCCATCTTTTGGAATTTATATAACAACACCCAATAGTATCTTCGGCTTTTTACCATTTAACCATGCTTTTAAAAGAGTTTTTTTCAGTTGAATTTAATCGCTTTTATTTCAGTCAAAATACTGCACACCAATGCAAGACATTAAGGAAAGTGTAATAGATGTTCCATCATAAAGGAAGATTAACGTGATAGATGATTACCCCAAAGAGATCTTTACAGAATGCACACGTGTCAAAATATATCATTATAGCTATGACTATGTATAATTATTGTGTGCTCATTAAAAGTAAAAAAATTTATAGTGAGGGGCCAGGGAGATGGCTCAGTAGAATAAGTGCATGCTTGGCAAGCACAAGGGCCTGAGTTCAATCCCTGGTTCCACAAAAAAAAAAAAAAAAAAAAAATTTATAGTGAGGGGCCGGGGAGAGGGCTCATTAAAATAAGCACTTGCCTGACAAGCGCAAGAGCCTGAGTTCAATCCCCGGTTCAGAAAAAAAAAAAAAAAAAATTATAGTGGAATTAATATAATGGTGAAAGCCTCTGACTCCCAGATACAGTGAAGTTGGCCTTCTGATAATAAATTATGTGAAGATTAAATGAAGTAAAACCTTAACAATTTTTTTCTTTTCTTTTATTTTGGATTGATATTGACACTGTAATTGTGCTATACATATTTCTGGTGTACAGAATGATGCTGTATGTATATAATGTAGAATGATTAGATCAAACTAATTAACAGCTCACTAATGCATAACATATGTATCAGTAGATTACTGCAATAGTGAAAGCAGCGATCAGTCAGCCAGTTCCCAAACTTGACACAGACAGCATAAAGGGACACAGTCTCTGTGTCACAGCCAAAGACAGCGAGGCTCATCCTAGTGTTCTTTATTTCTAGCTTTATTTGAACTCATGCTCTGTTGATTAATTTGGGCCCTCTATGGCTCAGCCTTTCTCAGAATCAGGAAATCGTTTAAAATTATTCATAATTAAGGGACTGGTAAAACTTTTTATTTTTTATTTTTATTTTTTTTTGCGGAACTGGGGATTGAACTCAGGCCCTTGTGCTTGCCAGGCAAGCGCTTATTCTACTGAGCCATCTCCCCAGGCCCCTTGGTAAACATTTAGAAAAGACAATATGTTAATTAAAGTTAATCTTCAGCTCTATGACTTGTAACTAGTAAAATAACCAAAACATAGTTAAATGTATGGATATGTACTAATAAGCTCTGAAGATGCGCAACAATCGATCTGAGGTGAAAAGCAAGTGAGCCCATTCCTACTTTAGAAGCTCTGCTTTTCCGTTGCTTTTACTTTTACACTTTCATTCAAAAAGTGTACAGTAAGCATTTACAGTGTTAAGATCAACTTCTGGGCCCCAGAGTCAAACCCTCAGGCAACACACAGGATGGGATCAAGGCTAGATGCCAACGGGTGTGGACGGGGCTTCCAAGGCACATTGTCTCTCTGTAAATATATTCCCTGGTTAAAACCCTGGCATCTGCTCAGTACACCAAAGGCTGAAACGTAACATATTTCACAGGACTTTTTATCACAGAGTGAAATACAGCTACTTTGGCTGTCAGTTCAATGGGGAGCAGAGGCTGAGTCAGCCTACCTATTTTTCAGGAGGATAAAGAAATCACGCACTCTCAAGTCTCTGTAGACTGTACTTTTGAAAAGGGGAAGGACTAGTGCAAAGGAAGCATTATCTTTCTAACATTCCAAAGAAACACTTCTTCCTAGGATAGAACAAACATCTTGCTACAAAGTACGTTTTAAAACAACAAAATTAGTAAGAGCAGTTTAAAAACTCAAAGTCCATGTTGTTTTAATAATTCATCTAGGAATTAAAGTCTAATGTAGATGTTTTCTGTGGATGCATGCTATCCAGGTAATTTTATTTTTATCTTTTCTGTGTTTTTTTAAAGGGGAAAAGGTGGGAAAATAAAAATTTGTAATAATGAGGAAAGCTACAGAGTAAAGGGTCAAGAGATCGGGTTTCTCAGCCTGATGTGGTGCACGCTTGTAATTTCAGTGTTCTAGCAGGCACAAGGATCCTTAGTTTATGTTTAACTTGAGCAATTTACCAACTTAGCAAGACCCCATCTCAAAATAACATTTTAAATAGGTCAAAGTTCTGGATTACAACCATAATACTGCAAGAAAGGAAAAAAGGAAGGAGGGAGGAAGGGAGGGAGAGGAGAGGAGGGGATGGAAGAGCTGAGTGGGGGGGCAGGTAGCCTCTGGACATATTTGATCACTAATTAATCGTTACCAAGTTAGTTTAATATCTGTAAATACTGTTTGTGGAGTGGAAATTAAGGAGCAATCTAGCCCTGCCAGTGATCAGCTTAAAAAATAAAGCTCATAAAGGAACTGTGAGATGCCCTATATAATAGCAAGCTTCCAAAAATTTGGAAATAAACCTTAATAAATTTCTCTCCAAAAATAACTGCGGTGCAGGCCATTAAGCCTCCTGGGCCCCTGCTGGTGGGCACCCAGTGTGCAGTAGCTGCACACAGCAACCCCTTGGTAATGCTCATAGCCTGTTGCTTGTATGGGCTGCGTTAAGGGACCTGGGAGACACTCCTTCGGGGGACTTTGTGTATCTGACCTCCTGCCATCCCCAATCCATGTTCCAAACAGACATGTGGGGTGCCTCTGGGAAGCCCCAGGGCACAGTGTCAAGGGTTCACATTGCACAGGTCATCATGTCTATCCTCACCAAGTTACAGAACAAAGAACATGTGATTGAGGTCCTATGTAGGGCCAAGTTTAAGTCCCCTGGCCGCCAGAAGATGCACACCTCCATAATGAGGCTTCGCCAGGTCAATGCAGACAAATCTTAAGACATGGTGGCTGAGAAGCACCTCATCCTTGATGGCTACTTGGTGAAATATGTCCCCAGCCGTGGTCCCCTGGACAAGTAGCAGGCCTTACACTCCTGAACGCTTCCACTGTACCACTCCACTTAACAAGTTCATCAGTAAATTTTCTCTGTGCTCCAAATAAATGAAAAAATGAATGCAATATTTTCATTCAACTACTGCAGAATTGTAGCCCACAGTTGTAGGGAAAATAAAAATAGATATTATAAAAATAAAAAGTATGCATGAAAGTAAAGAAGACACTCTAAGTCACAACTGGAAACACCCTGCTTGCTATTGTACATAGATTTTTTAAAATCCTATTAAAATGTATTAGTATATTTTTAAGTATTAAAATTTCACAGTGAACAAGAAAATCCAGTCATTAAGAAAGTCCACGCTTCACTTCTTTGCCTCAATGGACTCTCATCAGAAATAGAGATCCGTATCTGTCCCCAAGTGCTAGAGGTTGGCTTGAAAAATAATTTCAACCCACCCAAAGCTATTTTTGAATTTTTAAAATGGCTTAATATTTAAGATGTTTCTGTTGATACCTTTTGAGGATTAGGAAATACATAAGGCATGAATTTCTTTGGCAGTAGGTCTGTTAGCTGGTCTCTAAGTCTTACTGCCCAGGATAGGGGTGGCTGAGGAAATGGCCCCAGGGTGGGGCCTGGACCTTTGAGCAGACTTTCTGACCTACCCTTTCTCCTGGGTGTTGACTGTTCCCATAAATAAGATGTGCCATTCTTCCTCCTCTTATGCACATGCTTGGCGAGAGCCCCAACACTACTATGAGTGGTGTAGTCCAGCATCAAACAAGAGTCAAAGTCCAGGAGTGTAGTGTGTTGCAAATGCTCACAACCAGTTCAGGATGGGAGAGGAGCCAGTGATTTATTTGTATTTGCTCATTCCCAAGATGTGAAAACTCTAATTATGACAGATTTCTAGCTACCAACCTGAAATCCCTAAGCTTGAGTTGAGAAGAGATATATTCTTTCTCACAAGTCTGTAACCTGCTGGCTCCAGCAAGACACAGAAAACATTTCCACCCCAAGGGCCAGGCACTTTTTTTGATGGGCCAACTTAGCACCTTGTTGGAGATATAGAACCAGGTAGTCAAGCATGAGTGTAGTTTCAGGGAGTGGTTTTGGTTGAAGCCAAATGTTATGACTATATAAAAAACAAGTAATGTTTAGCTCTCTAGGACTCAAAAAAGCACCAAGAGTATGAACATAAACTTGTTTAAAATTTAATTATCTGTATACCAAACATTTTCCAGCATCACTGTCAGTGATGCTGTAAGTATAACTTTCTGAATTCTCCTAACAACCCCAATAAGCACAAAGTGATTATTTTACACTTTTACAAATGAAAAAGAAGCATAGCACTCAGATCAACTTGCCCACATTCACAAGTAAATGGCCATTGAGAGACAGAACTGGAATTTTTCGCCAAGGTTATCTGGAACCATAGCTACTATTGGAGAAGACAAGTTGTCTAAAGGCCTAAGGCCTTAGGCACTGTAGCATTTACAGGAAAAGGAATGCCATCTCCATGTTACTTTTTTTTTTACATATTTTGTGCAGGGTTCCACTATACAGTTCAGACTTGTAGTGATCCTCCTGTTTTCAGCCTCCCCAGCACTGGGATTACAGTCATGTGCCACCATGCCCAGTCTTGGTTGCTGGCTTGGTGCACCCTGGGTAGGGCCAGCACAGCATGTGATACCAGGGATCGAACCTGGGTCCTTGTGCTTGCCTAGTCAAGCACTTAGACCGCTGGGCTATCTCTGCAGCCCCCATGTTACTTTCAAAATCAAGAAAGCTTGTATTAAAATAATAGAAGCTGCTGAGCTGCCTTTTGAAATTAGACCTTGTTTTGTGTCATTCTCTGCTCTACATTAAATCTTCTTTGCAGGTCATTTCCTGTTTACAACACCACTCAATGAAAAGCTACAACCATAATCACTGTAAAAAGACTGAAGTTTTTGTAGGGAGTATGAATGAGGTTTACATATAATTTGTTGTTTGAACTGGAACAATTCTTGTAATGAAAGGGGAACCTTGTCACTTAAGCCATGAAAGCAAAGACAGGCTAGCACTGCTGCCAACACCCCTGAAGAGGTGGCAGACACCCCAGGTAGCCTCTGTCTTGGGAACAGAGTTAGAACAAATGCAGAGATACAGACTGATTTGATCCATGCAAAATATGAACCACTGTTGATGTCTTCTCACAGTTCCTTATAGGTAAATGCCCCTTCATTGGTCATTGCAGTTGTTGATTTTTATTAACTGCTGGTTACAACTAGACATCAGAAAGCAAACTGAGTGTTATAGATAGGTGTAAAAATACTGGTTTTTGGTTAATCATTCCTTAAGATGTAAAATAGTAACATATGCATAAGTGATTTTGGTCATAAAGGCCTTATTTCAAGGATTTGGAAAGAAATATTCTACTATTTAACATCAATAAAATCAGTAAAAAAATCACTTTGCACAGTGATTAAATACTATATTTATCATTGCTCAAAAAGAACTCTCTTCATTCCTATTTTAATGTAAATGTACTGAAAAAGATACCTAAGACTCCACTTGTACATCCTAAGTTGTTTTTCATGTGATATAAACAGTGATCATGTTAACATATAAAAGATGGAATAACAAAGTGGAAATACAAGGAATATACTGTACCTTGTTTTACCTGCAAGGAACACACACCTGGCAAAAGGCAATTTTCACATCCAAGGTTGGTTCACTGCAGTAGTACAAGAAATGGAGGCTCATAAATACCTGCAGAAAAAAGTGAACAAAAATTGGTAAGTCACTATTTTCCACTTTTTAATATTAAAGCTGTTAACATGATTTGATTGTATATAGGGTATTGTGCACAAAATATGTTCACCATAATTCTTATTCATATTTATTTATTTTTATTTATTACATTTATTTATTGTGTGTGTGTGTGTGTGTGT